ATGAGTTTATAACAGTTTATTTGATGAAAACTTAAAATTCTTGATTCCTAGGACTGCGCAGTACCAAAGTGAGATCTCATGGATGTCTGATATGGTGGGTGGACAAATTGGACTGAGACTGACAAGCCCATCTTAACTTTGATCTCTGTGGCCCTTCCCATCCCCTCTCTGCCCCTGTTGAATATGTAATCATTGGCTCACACATTCAGTTTAAAATTACACGCTTTGCACCTTGCACCTTGAACTTAAAAGTGCAGTTGTGGACTTTGAATGTAGTGTCCCTAGATTACATATTCAAATATATCACACATTTAATTTTCCTAACTTTGCATCAATTTTTGCATACATTCTCTCTCTCACTCTAAGCAGAAGAAACACAGTATCCACAGCAGTCTAAATGTTGCATATTTATTATTTAAGGTGCACATACAATGCTTTATTTGTGCCAGGGCTGAGCCCTGGCACCTCTGGGCTTGGCAGTTCATAGCCCCAGCACCTCTGGCCTTGTTGCATCAGTTATGAATATAAAAAAAATTGTTTGAGCCCCAGCACCTTTTTCATTACAAATTAAGCACTGTGCAAATTTAACACAGTAATTAGAAGTATTGGTAGTGACTCCATAGTTAATGTTGTTTTTGAGGTTTGTATTTACAGTGAACTAAATCCATCTTTCACATTTGAGCAGTTGAATTTAGTCATCAAATTTCATGCAAACTCTTCAGGAAGCAAATAGATTTTCTGTAACTTTTTTGTCAAAGGTTACAACAAAGATTTAGCACAGGGAACACTTAAAAATGAGCCCTTATTGATATTTGGACCTGAGTTTTTAAAAAATTTGGCCCCAATTCTTGGGTTTTTTTGTTTGTTTTGTTTTAGTTCTCTAGGTAAAGAACCACAATAGCTCCAAACTTCTCTAACAAGCTGCTTTTAAAATTTTTAAATAAAACAAAATGAATCCTGTTATAATCTAACTAAACTCCCTGAAATGTAGCCAGTGGAATTGTCAAGTTCTTCTAGTTCAGGGCTGGGCAAACTTTTTGGCCAGAGGGCCACATCTGGGTGGGGAAATTGCATGCAGGGCCATGAATGTAGGTTGGGGTGTGGGAGGGGGTGCGGTGTGCAGGAAGGGGCTCAGGGAAGGGGGTTGGGGTGCAGGAGGGGTACCGGGTGTACGAGGGGGCTCAGGGCAGGGGATTGGGGTACAAGAGGGGGTGCGGAGTGTCGGAGGGGGCTCAGGGCCGGGGGTTAGAGTGCAGGAGGGGTGCAGCAGGGGGCTCAGGCCAAGGGGTTGGGGTGCAGGAGGGGTGCATGGTGCAGCAGAGTGTTGGGGGCTCAGAGCAGGGATGCAGGATGGGTGTGGCAGGGGGTTGTGGTGCAGGACAGGTTTGGGGTGCGGGCTCCACCCCGGCGCTGCTTACCTGGAGTGGCTCCGGGGTGGCAGCGGCGTGCAGCGGGGCTAAGACAGGCTCCCGGCCAGCACCACATGCCTGCGGCCCCTGGGGGAGGAGGGGCAGAGGGCTCCGCATGCTGCCCTCCCCTGCGGGTACCTCCCCTGAAGTGCCCATTGGCCGAAGTTCCCTGTTCCCGGCCAATGGGAACTGTGGGGGGCAGTGCCTGGAGGCGAGAGCAGTGCACGGAGCACTCTGCTCCACCCCACCCCCAGAGGCTGCAGGGATATGGTCCTGGGCGCTTCCAGCAGCGGCGCAGGCCCGCGGTGCCACAGGGGTGGCAATCCCGCAGGTCAGATCCAAAGCCCTGATGGGCTGGATCCAGCCTGTGGGCCGTAGTTTGCCCACCCCGTTCTACTTCTTTCCCATTTTTTACACTTCCCAGTGTTTCTTCTTGATTTGTTAACTATGTTGCTTTAACTCTTACCACTCCTGATCTTGGGAAGTTGGGGAGGCAGTTGGGGGGCGGGGGAAGAAGAGGCCAAAGCATGGGAGGAGACTCCCCAGGGCATTGCTAATTTAAATTCTTGGCATACCCCAAGCAGCAGCACTATGAAAATATTTTTCTTTGTCCTGAAGCAGTGGCATATGCAGGACTATCCATGGTGGTCCTACCATAGTTCCCTCAGTACTTCAGGTAGCAATAGCATGGGGGTTGAAGAGATGGCATTGGTGGGGTTGAGTCAGTGGTGATAGGAGGGGTGAGTGGATATTTTGGGAAGACACCATGGTCTTCCGAGTGGGAGTTATATAGGAGTCAAGATAAAGGCAAGAAGATCACTATTGGATGTAGTATGTAAGTATTGATTTAACTAGTGACTTCCTTAGATTTTTAGTGTCTCGACTGATTGAAAATGCTCTTGAGCAGCCTTAATGTAAATTAGTTTTTTTGTGTAGTATAAAATAGTGTATGTTTAAGGGGGTGTATTAGTTACCAAAGCAGCTAACTTTAAATTTCCTACCTCTCCTGTTCACTTAAATTCTCAACCCTACATTGCATTGAACAGTTATTGTTAAATACTTATTATTTATATTAACTTGCCTCTGCTATTTGAAGCCATGTCAGATAATCAACTGGTGAGATTTATACATTTCTTTTCCCTTGTCTAAAACATGCACTGATAAATTTCATTGCATTATTTGACAAAACTATAGGCTACAGATTTACTCTCTCTCCAATAGGTCTGCAATAGATGTCTTTAAATGGGATGCATAGTATTTATGGGTCACCAAGAGGATACTTCAGGTCTTGTGTCTCACTTAATTTAAAGGTGTTTTGTCGATAATGCTTGAACGTGCAAATCTTGTGAAATTGTAAAGCACTTTGCTTGGTACGCTGAAGGTCCATCCGATATTTGTTTGTCTGGGGCACTTAGTATTTTCCAACTGTTATATTCCACTACCCCTTTTTCAGACCATTATTACATTTTGTATTTCCTGCTTTCAAACCACCACTTTCAAATTTATATACTAAAAATGTAAACCATTAAAGAAATTAATTGTTAGGTTAACTATTTAGAATTGCCATTTTTGTTCTTGGTTACTGAACTCGGTTTTTAGCTTTCCAAAGCACATTGTAGTATCTTGCACTACTGTGGTTCCTGTGCAGCTATCTAATGTTCTAAGTAAACACAATCAGTACAGTTCACTTTTTTAAGGGGATGACGAAGATGTCTGCTAGTTTACTCTGACATGTTTTTCTGGTATGTGTATCTTATGAATCCCATATATGGAGCATTGCACTACATTTTTTTTTCTTTACTTCATTTACTTTCAAAGTCCCATGCATAAACTTCATAAAGTCTGCTCAAATTTTACACTTGACCGAAATTATGGAAATACTATTTTCACGTACCATTTGGATTAATATTTGGCCTTTGAAACCCTTCTCACTATATGGCATAATTGATAGGGCACCAACAGCATGCACAAAGAAATTCCAGCTCCCTGGATCAAAGGGCTAGTTAGTCCCAGAAGGTGATGTGCTAAGTGGAAAAGCAATGTAGTGGTGTCAGTTTTTCTATAAGGGAATAAAATGTTTGTATTTAAAATGAGGCAAAACAATAGCACTTCTTCAATGTTATGCTAATGTTAATCCAAGTAAGCCTAGTGAAATATGATTGTTGTGAAATATCAAAATATTTATTGAGAATTATGCGATGCGAAGATTTAACCACAGAAGTTTTCTTTGAAATGCATATTTAGTGAAGTTTAAAGTTAGAGGGGAAAAAATGTGTGAGGTTATATGTTTTACTTCATTCACCTTGTATGTCTAATATCCTGGGACTGACACGGCTACAAGAAGTCTGCATTTGTATTTCTGAACTAACAAGTAATTTTAGTGTTCTATAGCTAGCTAATTTTCTTTTCCATAAAAACCAGTTGGTGCATCTTATGCTTTGTAGGCTCTCCCCCTCCCCCCCCCGCCCCCCAAAACCAACAACAACAAAAAACCCTTGAGCAAATATAAACTATTCAGACACTTTTGTCACTCCAAATTATGGAAAAACAACTAGGAGTCCTTGTGGCACTTTAGAGACTAAGGCTACGGGGGGAGGGGGGGTCAATTTAAGATACGCAAATTCAGCTACGCGAATAGCGTAGCTGAATTCGACGTATCACAGCCGACTTACTCCGCTGTAAGGATGGTGGCAAAATCAACCTCTGCGGCTTCCCGTCGACGGCGCTTACTCCCACCTCCGCTGGTGGAGTAAGAGCGTCGATTCGGGGATCGATTGTCGAGAGGTCGATTTCTACCCGCCGATTCAGGCGGGTAGTGTAGACCTAGCCTTAGTCGTTAGTTTTTACTGATACAGACTAACACGGCTACCCCTCTGAAACCAAATTATGGAAGTTATAACATTGGCTATTGGTTACATCACTTGCCTTAAGTATTTCCTGCTGTGCGGGGTCTGTTGTTTTTAGATTACCAGTGATTTTACCTACACAGTGTAGGAGCAGGGACGGGATTGTGTGGAATGAACTAAATTTTCTGGAGATTGAATCCAGGTCACTTGGCTAGCATCCAGATACTTGACAATAAATAGGGAAAGCAGCCAGAGAACCTTTTTCATTCTTTCTGTTCCAGTGAACTGAAACTTAGGGGCAGGGAGAAATTTTAATAAATGGAATCGCTTTCTGTATAAGAATTTTAAGTAGGGTGTGTGTGTGTGTGTGTGTATGTATGTATATTATAGAGAGAGAGAGAACGAACTATTTTTGATAAACATCTTGTTTTAAAACAGCTGGATTCTCATTCTTGCCTCCTCCAATACACTATTAATTTTGCTTAATTTTTTTGAAATACTTACAATAGCTTTTCTTTGATTGTAAAGTGAAGTGACTTTAAATCAAGATAGTTTATTTTGTTAATGTTAGAATAATTACCTCACTGACAGAGAAAATTGTTGCTGGTACAGCATGCTGAGAACTTTTTACTAGACATTTTGCACCTTGTCAGCCTAAAACTTTCTTTTCTGATAGCCATGCTATGCAGAACAGAGTAGTTCACACTATACTAATTATCAACATATGCTATCTGTCTTTTTACAGAAGATGCGGATTACAGTGCCTTTGGTACGGATACTATGACAAGGAAGAAAAATGTCTTATCAAATGTGTTGCGTCCGGATAACCACAAAAAGAAACCACACATTGTCATTAGCATGCCGCGAGACTTCAGACCGGTGTCGTCTATTATTGATGTGGACATTCTCCCAGAAACCCATCGCAGGGTGCGACTTTACAAATATGGAACTGACAAACCACTTGGATTCTATATACGGGATGGCTCTAGTGTCAGAGTAACACCACATGGATTGGAGAAAGTACCAGGGATTTTCATATCCAGACTTGTTCCTGGAGGCCTGGCTCAAAGCACAGGCTTACTGGCTGTTAATGATGAAGTACTGGAGGTAAATGGAATAGAAGTCTCAGGGAAGAGTCTTGATCAAGTTACAGACATGATGATTGCAAATAGCCGTAACCTGATCATTACAGTGAGACCAGCAAATCAAAGAAATAATGTTGTTAGGAACAGTAGGACTTCTGGGAGCTCAGGTCAGTCTACTGATACTAGTCTTCCAGGTTACACACCACACACTGTGCAGAACTTCCATCCAGAAGAAGACGACAGTGATGAAGATGACATCATTATTGAAGATAATGATGAGCCACGGCAGATTCCAAAAGCTGTCCCTACCAGTGAGAGTCTGGAATCATTAACGCAAATTGAACTCCTTCATGAGTCAACACAAAATGGTTTCATTCCATTTAGTGAAGTAAACTTATGTCATTCAGCAGGCAATGTTAACATGGAGTATGAAATACATGATCCAGACAAAAAGTCCTTAGAAGATGGGACAATTATAACATTATGAAACTGCCTCAATGGTGTATTTTACATTAACTGAAGATGCCATACAACTTTTAATTTTGCTTGATATATAATGCAATTTATACCTCTCAACCTACCAGTCCTTAAGACCTGCAAACAAATGTAAGGAAAACCGTAAATGCAGGAAGCTTAAAATTATGTGGGCTGATTAATGTCAGTTTTATAATTATGTAATTCCATGTAAATATTTTGTAAGGATACAAGGTAGATGACCCTGGCTGTGATGGGACAGCGGTAAAATGAAGGATGGTTGAGAGGTATTGACTGCATGTTTACTTCCAGAGGTACTTATACTACTGGTTTTAAAGAGTAAATTTCCATTACCATGTGAGGTGGATAGTGAAGCTGCATGTCTAATCCGAATTTATGGTCATGTGCGTTTACCCCTTAATGACACAATTAACAATGATATTAAAATTCTAATGTGAAAGTCTTACTACTACTCCTCTTGTACCTTGAGGACCAATTCTCTTCTCTAAGGCCTTGACTACACTGGCGCTGTACAGCGCTGCAACTTGCTGCGCTCAGGGGTGTGTAAACGCCCTCCCCCCCCCGAGCGCAGTGAGTGCAGCGCTGTAAAGCGCCAGTGTAATCAGCGCCTGCAGCGCTGCGAGAGAGTTCTGTGAATTCTCAAGTGTAGTCAAGGCCTTAGTTTACAATATTGTATAAGGTGGTCTTTTATGCTGGGCTTAGTCACTAACTGTAGTAAATTACATTATGTAAATGTCTAAAGAAATCAAATACAAAATTAATAGGATGAAAATAACATTTTACCTGATTCCTATTTCATGCTCCAAAAATGGTCATGTTAAAAGATATCAAGATTCTTACAAATGAGAGGAGAGTTATTTGAAGTTGATAATCAATGAACAGTTATGTCTTAATTTTTTTTTTAATATTATCCAGCACAGGTTTAGAGCAACTTGTATCACTTGATTTAAAAAAAAAAAAAAAAAAAAAAAGTTTAGGCTTTGTAAAACTAACTTGTGCTATTACAACTTCAAAATTTATAATGAACTAAATTATAAATGCTGTTTTTTTAACATACCACCCCCGGTAAGGTATCTTCTTTGAATATTACAAAACTGCTATAGGAAAAAAACAAAAATATTGAAAACTAAAATCCTGATGCTGCAAACACTTAAGCAGGAATGTAAATTGACTCTCATGAATAGATGAATAGTTCATTGACTTCAGTAGAACTACTCATGTGGTTTGTTTGCAGCATCAAGAGCTAAAATGTATTTGTATTTAAATTTATTTCTTAAGACATAAATTTGTCTTCAAAACAAAATTAGTTCACTGCTAATAATGAAAATCTGTTAACTTTTTTAATACATTAACACAGTTAACTTTTTATACATACACACTAAAATTTTGAAAAATAGCCTTCTGAAGGTGGAATTTTCAGGTGTTTCTAAGTTCCTTCAAACTGCAAAGCCTGATGGAATACAGCCTGGTTAAAGTACTTCAGCCTTCTTGACTTGTGAAAATTCAGTCTAATGGAAAGCGGTGGTAGCTACATTTGAAATTTGCTTATCAGTTTGTATTTATCTCAGTAAGGATGTAGCTTCTTAGCAGAACCAATTTCTATGTAAGATGTGAAATTCTACAGTTAGGAAACGGACCTCTTGAGGTTCTTTCCAGCCCTAATTTCTATGATTTCTAAAGAAACGAGAACAGAACATCCAGTTAACAGTTTGACTTTAAATGGGAAGAAAAGTAAGAATTAGCAACAGGTACTCCTGAGGAAATTCTGCACCCCCAAAAAAAAAAAAATAAATTCTGTGCACAATATTTTAAAATGATGCATATTTTACTAATCAAAATAACACACTATTATGTCAGTTTCAATTATTTTGGTAATTTATTTCAAAATACTTGTCAACAAGTATGTCTAACAACAAAAAAGGCTCAGGAAATTTTTTTTGACAAATAAGATTCCTTACCATGAGTATTAATACAGAACTTTGAGTAATAATTGATTTAAATTACAATACAGAAACGTATTTCAATGCCCCCAGGCCTTTGCACTACTTCTGAGGCGTGTCAGGGGTAATGGAGGAGCTGAAGGGGGAAGTAATTGCTGGGAAGGAGCCTGGGAATGAACCTGGAGGGTTGTTAGGTGTGGGTGGGAGAAGTATGGAACAGATTTTTTGTGGGGAGGGGGGTGATTGTTAGGGAGTTGGGGAGTCTCCCCCATGCAGATGCTGGCTGACCCCTCGCCTCTCCCATTTAATCAGGCACATCTGCCCTGTGTGTCCCTACACCCCAATTCCCCATTCAGTTAGGCATATCTGCACATCCCTGTGTTTCCCGGCACCCTCCCTCAGCCAGGCATAGCTCACCTGTCTCCATGTGTCCCTACATGCCCACTCCCCCATCTGGCCCCACACCCTGTTCAGCCAGGCATAGCTCCCGTTTCCATGTGTCCCTGCACCCCTGCTCAGCCACCATCCCCCCGCCGCTCCTCCCCATCCCCATGTGGCCCTGCATCCCCACTTCCATTCAGCCCCTGGCACAGTGCGGTCACCCCACTAGCTCCTATACCCTGCTCTGACCATCCACTCCCCCTCCCTTCTCCCCATATCCCATGCCTCTTCACGTGGCCCTGCCAGCGGGAGCCTGTGAGGAAGGCAGTTTCCCTCTCCATGGCTGGCTGCTCTAGCCTGTGAGCCTGCTGCCCTCTCCTGGTGCCACCTGGTGAGTGAAAGGTGTAATTGCAGCTTCCCTTTGCCTCCGTTAGAATCTGCTGGGGACATCAAGTGCAGAATTCTCCCAGGAGTAAACATGTAAATTTAAAAATTGATTTTTTTTAAAACTTATTTTTATCCATGCTGCTCCTTTTTATTTAGGGCATGTGTCTTACTTTAAAACTGGATTTGGTTTTTATTCCTTCAGCAATGGGACTTCTTTTCTGTATCATGATAGTGTGCATTCACATGCCTTTTTATTTACTTGAATGTATTGCAAGTAATCAAAGTGGGAAAATGCACTTGTATTAAGAGAAGAAAATGAGATCCACAGATGAAGATAAGCTAGTACCCCACTTTTTTTTTATGTAGAGGTGTAACGCTTTCATTCAGTGGAATTGTTTTATGGATCTAATATGGTGCATTAGTAGTGTTGCGGCTTGGATGTAAGATAAGCTATTAACTTACCCATGAGCCTGGCACCTGAAAACAAGTTACAAGATATTAATTTATTGCTTAAGCGCAAACACTTCAAGGTAGTATGCTGCTAAACTTTTGTCCATTACCTAATTTTGAATGTTTTTTTTACTCATAGCGTATGCATTTTGGGTATATATACTGGTATTAAGAACTTAAGGAAATTTTAAAAAGGGCATTTAGTGTGTAAGTGCTCATGAATTTCCATGATGAAGGATTAACAAAAGTTTTTGTAATTAAAATGACAGACTGCACAATATGTAATTGCATAACACTGCAGTTACCATAAGAGAGACTTTCTAAATATCTTCTATCTGCATCATACCACTCGACAAATTACTAAATAGTTTAAAAAATCACTATTCCAGGATAATCAACTGTTGAAATAAATGGTTAGTTAACTTTATATATAAAATGGTACTAGGTTCAGTATATTATTTTTAAAGATGATAGTTATATTCGCCTTTTATATACTACCTCTTAAAGTTAGTTTTTTTAACAGTTAACATCTTTCAAAATATCTCCCGGGGGGGAGAAAAAAATTCAAGGCTTGACTATTTTGTACTGATTTTAACTGTAAAATCTAAAATTATGCATGACTGAAAATATCGAGCTGCTGTCAATGCACATTCTTTATGTATTCAGTATCCTAATGCATATACATTATATTTTAATCCAGATTTTATAAACTAATTTATATCCAAATTATTTCAAAATGCTTTGGAATACCAAAATTCCTTTGAATAGTGTTATACGGATGTGTACATGCACAATAAAAGCAATCTGTCACCCCTCCTCTCTGCTGGCAGTCTGAAAACAGATTAGCCTTTTAAGTGCACCTTATTAGAAAAGAGAGCAAATGTTGCTGAAATTAAGATCCATTCACTTTGGATCTCTGATATGGTATCAGTAAAAGTCAAGCTTAAACTGTGAATCATATGTTCTTCCACAGCTTCAATAAATTTAGGACAATGTCCTCATGAGCTGTCTGCAACATGTACTTTTGTGAATATTCTGTATTTTCTAATTACATTTTACGTGCAACTTGATTTTTACGCAAATGAAAATTTGTTTAAAATGTCATATCAGTATTTTTCTTACAACTTTAATGTATAATGTACATTGATATCTCACTAAATGAACTTTGATTTTACAAAATCAAACTAGCTTTAGCTGTATATTAGTCTTATATTTTTACAGACTGGAATAATAAATGCATATAGAAATATAATTGCTTTTTTAATTACTTTGGCAAGTCAGAATCAAGAGCATTTGTATTCTAAAACGTGAAAACATGGATACATTTCAGGCAGGTCTCAAGGGACTCTTACTGTGTACCTGCTTTTCTTTGCCACCAGAGTATCAGCTAATTTTATAACCCTGTTAGGATGGAGAAAACTGACCAAGGTGCAAGAAGATGTCCACCTTCACTTGTTCCCTCACCTGGGCTGCATTTATATCCTGTACCTATAGGGAAACACACAAGTGCTCTTAATACACCTTATAAATAGGGGTGAAGGCTACAGTCCTCTCAGCCATGACTTCGACCTGAACATGCATGACATGCCCAGGCCCACTATAATTATACTAATTACAATAAACATGCATGTAGCACCTGGAATACTGCCACTAGATGTGGTGGTGCTTCTCATGGTAAGCTAGAGCCATCAGACCCAAGGAGTCTAGGCAGTGGAGAGGAGAAGGCTCTTAGCCAGGCTTACCATCATGGTCACGTGGTGATTGTGTGAGGGCTTCTGAATGTGAGTACTAGCCATATGTTGGCAACATTGAGTATCTAAATGGCAAAATTCCTTTTGAACTCTTAGCACTGGCCCACTTCTAGTGTCACCCAATTCCAAAGCTTTAGGCAGGACTAGATATTCTGTTTCTTTAAAGTTACTGTACAAAAATTGCAGCCAATTAATAGAGATTTGCTCCCTGTCTGTATTGTCATATGTTTAATTTCAATTGCAGCATCAGATATTCCCCTCACACCTATACAGCCCTTTAATGTGAAAATGAGGTTTCACAAGCATAACTGATGGTGAAATTTGGCTGATGGTATCTATTATTATTGATGTACAGGCTGGAAAGAACCCAGTTTAACTTTTTGATTCCATGTCAAGTTTGTAGACCTGGTAGTTGGAAAATACATTTCTTTAGTTTGCATGGAACCTGTCTATGCAGACCCCCTTTGTTTTCAAGAGCAATGCTGACACAATTATGATGATGAAGACATCAACTTTAGAATTCACTACATACCTAAATTAACCTTATTTTTTAAACTTCAGAATGTTGCAATTCCTATGTACCTGAAAATTTTGGAGGATGTTTGAATTGTCAGAGGGTGATGGGTTT